AAAGGCCCTCCCGTTGATCATCGATTTGTTCGAGCGGGCCCAGTAACGTCTCCAGCTGGGCATTAATATAAAATAATACTTTTGAGACGATCATTTTTGTCTTCCTTCGTTGTGGCAACGAAGGAAGACAAAAATGATCGTCTGTACTTTCAATGCACGTACGCTAGCATCAGATACATCCATCGAGGACCTGATGGTACAAGCGCGAATGATCAAGTACGACATCATTGGTCTGACCGAGACAAGAAGGCACAAATCTCACCATGCCGTTTTCGATACTGGAGAAGAATTGTTCCTCGGAACATGCGATAAAAGAGGTGTTGGAGGCGTCGGTGTCCTTGTCAACACAAACTTGGCCAAGAGCATTGATTCATTCGAATGCCTAACAACCAGAATCAGACGTTTACATTTGAATAGATGTGGCTCACTGCCTGCAGTTTCTATCTTCGTTGTCTACGCACCAACATCTCATTATGATGAAAGAGAAATCGAGAAGTTCTACATGGAGCTAGAGAAGTTCTATAAAGAAGACCACACCTTCTACAAGATCATTGTGGGTGATTTTAATGCCAAGATAGGACCGAGAAGATCAGCTGAAGAACTTCACATCGGGACCCATGGCCTAGAATGGAACGAACAGGGTGAGAGACTGTCTGAGTTCATCGTGTCGACCAAGACCATTCATGGTAACTCACAGTTCCAGAAGGCAGAATCTAAACGATGGACATGGGAGTCTCCCGGTGGACGATTCCACAACGAAATAGACCACATCATATTCAATCGACGGTTTTGCCTGACCGATGTCGCTGTTGTCCCAAAATTTCTAACGGGATTGGACCACTGTCTCCTTCGTGCAAAATTCTACTTCACAGAGCGGGGAGAAAGGGCTGCAAAGTTCAAAAAGAGAACTCCCAGAATGACCACCAACTGGGAACTCTTTGGTACTATTGCGGCAACATGGGAAGATGCCATTGTTGACAACATTGACGAGGAATACGATCGACTGGTTCAGCACCTCCATGAATGTGCAAGGAACGCCAAGAGAGAGATAGCCACAAAAAATCGCCTTTGAAATTATCTTCGAAAACTCTTGAGCTAATTCGCCAGCGTGGTTTGGCGCATGCCTCAGGCAACCGCAAGCTAACGTCCGAGCTCGCAAAGCAGTGCAGAGATGCGATCAAGGAAGACCTCAAAGAGAGAAGAGCAGAAGTACTGGTAGATGCGGCAGAAGCCGGGAAAAGTATTCGTAACGCCCGCCTGTCCTTCGCCAACTATAAGACCAAGATGACTGCCCTCTGACGTCCTGATGGATCCATCACATCCTCCAGAATGGCAATGGAGAAGATTATCCATGACTTCTACTCAAATCTCTTCGATAGCCATGTCCACTTGCCGACATACCAAATTCCACAGGATGGATATGTCGTTCCCAACGTTCTCCCTTCCGAAATCCGACACGCCATTTCGTCGGTAAAGAAACAAACAGCACCTGGCCCAGACAAGGTCAGACCCGAACACCTGAAGAACCTGCCGTCAGTACTCATCAATACACTGGCTCGGCTCTTCACTCGCTACCTGTCTGAATGCAAGGTTCCGTCTCAGTGGAAAACCAGCAGGACCGTACTACTCTTCAAGAAGGGAGACATCCATGACATTGGCAACTATCGCCCGATCTGCCTATTGTCTGTCATCTACAAGTTGTTCACTCGAGTCATCCTAAATAGGATTGGCAGAACACTAGATGAAGGACAACCATGCGAGCAAGCCGGGTTCCGCAAAGGATTCAGCACCATCGACCATATCCACACGATAACCAAGCTCATTGAGGTTTCTCGGGAGTTCAAGATGCCGCTCTGTTTAACGTTCATTGATTTAAAGAAGGCCTTTGATTCTGTTGAGACGGAAGCGGTCACTGAAGCCCTAGCCAATCAGGGCATTCAAGCCCAATACATCAGGATCCTTCGTGAGCTGTATTGCGGATTCACTACCAGGATCTCACCATTCTACAAAGAAGTGATCGTTGATGTCAAGAGAGGGGTGCGGCAGGGTGATACCATTTCACCGAAACTCTTCAGTGCCACCCTCAAGAACATCATGCGATGACTGGAATGGGAAGGAATGGGAGTGAAGATAGATGGTCGGCAACTACACCACCTCCGCTTTGCTGATGACATTGTTTTAATAACACCAAACATCAGCCAAGCAGCACAAATGCTGGCCGACTTTGACCGTGAGTGTGGAAAGGTAGGACTACAGCTGAATCTTAAGAAGACAATGTTTATGAGAAACAGCCTTGTTCCTGACGCCCCATTCACTCTCAATGGAACGACCATCTCCGAATGCAACAGCTATGTGTACCTAGGTCGAGAGGTCAACATGACAAATGACCTGGCACCCGAGCTGCGCAGGAGAAAGAGAGCGGCTTGGAACGCCTTCAAGAACGTCGAAGAAATAGCTAAGAGGACGAAGAACCTCCGGCTCCGGGCACATCTCTTTGATTCCACTGTTCTTCCTGCATTAACATATGCCTCAGAGACCTGGGCCCTACGCAAACAAGATGAGAACGCTATTCAGGTCTCCCAAAGAAGAATAGAAAGAGCTATGCTTGGAATATCACGTTTCACTCAAATGAGAGAACGAATCCGGAGTTCTGATATCCATTGACGATCAAGGATCAGGGACGCTGTCTCATTTGCCAAGGTGTCGAAAATCAGATGGGCTGGTCACGTAATGAGATTTAAAGACGACCGTTGGACTAGAGCTGTTACTGATTGGATTCCACGGGATGTCAAAAGACCGTGTGGCCGCCCACCTACCAGATGGTCAGACTTCTTCGTCAAGATCATGAACGATCGGTTTGAGGCCCTTCATGTTCCCGGAGCGAAGAGATGCCATTGGGCTACACTAGCATGCGACAGGGACAAATGGAGACGTTACTGGCGCCTGCTCGAGCAAATCGACGACTAATGGGAAGTTAAGTGTGATTAAGTGATTAATACTTTTGAGAAAGTTTGGACTTATGAAGTCACCCAGAAATTTCACTTACATATTTACTCAAGAGAAATAAAAACAAGTTTTGCAAAAGTGTTTGGTTGTACTTAAGGAGTTTTGGTCAGGTTCTCTTACATATTCCTAAGACCATATTTTGTCATTTCAGAATATTCTAATGGTTCTAATTATAATGACTTAAAAAATAGACCTAGTTGTGCAATGAGTCCTGGTTTGGTAACAGGCATCATGGATCAGGAAATGCAGTTTGTTGAGCCAAGATGGCAGTCTGTGAAGAATTCCAGAAGAGGGGCCAGTGTGATAGGAAGTGAGTGGGGCATTTGTCTTCACGTGCCAAAACCAGGTTCGATCCCTACCATTCCATATATGGTCCCCTGAGCACTGCCTGGAGTAATTCCTGCAGAGCCAGAGTTGAGCACCACTGTGTGTGGCCTCCCTGTCCCCGACCCCCCCTAAAAAAAAAAGAATTCCAGAAGATTGCCAGAGCAAGAGCAATTGGATTTTCTGTAATGGGATTTATTGGCTTTTTTTGGTAAAATTGATCCATACCTCTTTAATAACAACATTGTTGGTGGCAGAATACCTTAACAGAAGAATGTTTTTCCTCTTGGGGACTGGTGAAGAAATGAGACTTTGAGAAGTTCACGGAGCAAAAATTCCCTATATATTTTGTGCTTTTCCTTTTTCTCTTCCAAGGTGTTTTCTATTTCTAAATGAAAATTTAAAAAAAGAAGAAGAACCAGTCTTCTCTTCATCTTCTACAGAAAAGAGATCATCTGGTCTGATTTTACTTGCCATTATATCCCCAAGTGCCTAATAAAAAGCAGATGCTTAGAGATGATCATTTTCCGTCAAAGAGAAAATTAGAACCATCAGACTCCTTAGGGAATAAGGACTCTCTGAACAGTAATTGAGCTGGCGTGATAAGCAGTAGGGCTCTTGCCTTGCACACAGCCCACACGGGTTCAATGCCTGGCATCCCATATGGTCCCCAAACCCCACTAGGAGTAATTCCTAAGTGCAGAGTCAGGAGTCACCCCTGCGACAAACATACAAATAGCAAAGTGTGTTAGAACATTTCAGCAGAATAGCAAAGTATGTTAGAGCATGTCAGCAATAGTTCAAGCCATACTAGCCATAATGAGTATGGGGGGTCCGCTGCACTGCCTACTTTTCTGTTAAGTTTGGATTTGGAAACATAAAGTGCTTTAAAACAGGCCTTCCTGAAATACAACAATCTTCACACACTTTCCTCTAAGGAAACTTTTGGGGAAGCATTTTCGGTGATTTATTCGTAACAAACAATACAAAATATTTCGGTTTTGCTTTGGGGCAGCGATTGGGGTTCGGGATGGAAACATCCCAATTATGGTGGTGGGAAGGTGTAATGGTGTTGGGATTGGTGTTTGAATATTCAGTGTCATCAAATATTGTGAACTACTTTATAAAAATCAAATAAAATTTAAAAAATAAATAAAACAGACCTTCAAGGAGCAATGCTTTTTACCCAACTCTCGCTGGAGAGCAAACCCCACAGTCTGCGCATCCCACCTCACACGCCGGAGGTCAACCGGCCAGTACGTGCAATCAACGCAAGGGCAGGACCAGCTGGAAATGTCCATCACCAAGAACCCCCTGCCGCGTTAAGGACTAGACCAAGGCTAAGGCTAAGGCTAGCGGCGCAGGAAAACAGCCCCTGAGGACCCGGAGCTCAACGCGCCTGCGCAAGGCGGCCACCGCCCCGCCCCGCCCCGCCCCCTGCTCGGGCGGAAGCGCCGGCTGCCCCATCACGTGACCGCGGCGGGGCGGGGCGCGCGGGAGCCGCCGCGTCGTCGCGCGCTGCCCGGGCGGCGGAGGCGGCGGCGCGTGTGCGCGGCGGAGCCTGCGGCTCGCGCGAGCCCCGCAGGGTACACGCCCACCCCCACCCCACACTCGAGGGTGAAGCCCCGAGCTGCCAGTACGGCGCGGCGGCCGCAGGGCCCGGGCTGCCCCGGGAGCCGCCGCGAGGACCGATGGAGTCGCTGGCCGAGCGCGTGCGGAGCAACGGGCGCATCGCCGCGGGACTCCTGCTCAACCTGCTGGTGTCCATCTGCATCGTGTTCCTCAACAAATGGATCTACGTGCACCACGGCTTCCCCAACATGAGCCTGACCCTGGTGCACTTCGTGGTCACCTGGCTGGGCTTGTACGTCTGCCAGAAGCTGGACATCTTCGCCCCCAAGAGCCTGCCCCCTTCCAGGCTGCTGCTGCTGGCGCTCAGCTTCTGCGGCTTCGTGGTTTTCACCAACCTCTCTCTGCAGAACAACACCATCGGCACCTACCAGCTGGCCAAGGCCATGACCACGCCGGTCATCATCGGCATCCAGACCCTCTTCTACAAGAAGACCTTCTCCACGAAGATACAGCTCACGCTGGTGAGTCCTGCGGGGCCGGCGCGCCGCCACCCCCTTCCCCGGGAAATTCGAATGCTTCCACCTCGCGCCCCGCGCTCTCCCGGCTCCTGGGACCCACGAGTGACTCATCTGTGAGCGAGCGGACTTTAGTCTGGGGGAGGCGGGACCAAACGGATCTTGTCACTCTGGGCCCTTGGCCAAGGAGAGAGTGTTTGTGGATTTTAGCTAACTGTTCGGTGGGATTCCTTAAGTAAGCGCTGGGGTCGGTAAGACAAGAAGTCTGTGTTGGGCTGGTGCCGTTTCAGTTGGATCTGAAGGTCTGCAAAAGCTCCAGCTTGAAAAGCCTTTCTCCTCCCCCAGGGGGGATTAAATCCTGAAAGCCGTAAAGGTGGAACACAGAACAGAAATATCTCATTATGTCTGCCGGGACATGTTTAGCAGAGATTTCTGTATCTTTCCATTGAAAAGAGATGGATTAAAATAATATTTGCACTCAATATTGAGCTTGCAATGTTTAAAAATCTTAACGCTAGGATTGTGTGTGTATATATATATTTCTTCTATAATTTTAAATTCTATATGCACATGCAAAATGAACATGAATTCATTTTAACTAGATTTTTAATTGGATTAAATGTGAACATATAGAATTATATTTCACTTTGAGCAAATAAGATTAACAGGATTTTCAAGTGGAAAAACATTTTATGCTCGTTGTTGTTTCCCAGCGATGCTTTGATGATTAACCCGTGTTTAACACCATGAAAGGAATTATTAAGTCTGTCTTATGATTTAATCTGAACAACATTTACTCTTTTTCTTTACAGATTCCTATAACCTTAGGTGTAATCCTAAATTCTTATTACGATGTGAAGTTTAATTTCCTTGGAATGGTGTTTGCTGCTCTTGGTGTTTTAGTTACATCTCTTTATCAAGTGGTTGGTAATCTTTTTTTTTCTTATGTGCCTTTTTAGCAGATTTCGTAAATTTTGAAGCTGTATCCCAAGGTTTAGAAAATACAGTATAGAGACAATAGGCTGTTGGGAAGAAAGCGTAATTGCATAACTTGTCTGACTCAAGGTGAAGAAAAGAAAGGAGACAGAGAAACTTTGGTGTATGATGCTCACCAAATACCTTCCTTCCTGTTTGTAAGTGTATAATACCCATGCGTGATAGTCTGAGTTTGGGGTTACATTTTAGTATTTCCTGGGAAATCTCTCCAAAATGAATAGTAAGACTGATGCTTTTCACCTGAGGACTGAGTTCACTTGTCATATTTTTATTTGCTCTGTAATTATAATATTAATGCAAGGGAGTATATACTCTTCCCAAAAGTTGAACAGGAAAGAAAATGTCCAGACCCATAAATCTGCTTAAAAATAAGCTGTGTTACAACTTACTGGGTAGCTTCTAGTAATAGTCTATCTATAGTGCTACTTTATAGCAGTGGTGTTCCACTTGTACTACCACAGTACCTTGCTTATAATAGGCATTCATTCAAAGTTTGTTCATGGGTTCACTTCATTACCAGTAAGGAACAAATAAGGTTTTTGTTTCTTGTATAGTGGGGGAGAAAATAACTTCCATTCGGGTACAGTGAAATAGTATTTTCTCTATACTGCAAACCTTGCCCTGGAAACGCTGGGTGTGTCTATGGGGAAACACAGTCAAGAATGTGTGACTAGTTTTACTTTTTTCACAAACATCCTCTGGTTATAAATGAAGTCATTCTTGTAATGAGTGTTAGGAGTTCAGTAATACAACTTGTGCAACTTAAGTTTTTTAGTTCTGATCACTTCAGGGACATTATGGGAGGTGGGGGGACGGATCTGAACTGAGTACACTTTTAATGACAGAGAGTGAGTACACTTTTAATGACAGAGAGGCTTTTTTTTAATGACACAATGAAATATTTATTCAAGATTAAATATATTTGATTTTTTTCCCTTATATATTCTAGGGAAAGTTTCAAGCATGATATACTCTAAAATAAACATACATATATATAGATATGTATGATGCATACCTATGCATATCTATGTTTTTGGTCTTTTTGGGGGGGCAAGTCTCAATTTTTTTTTTCTTATTTTAGTGAATCACCATGAGATACAATTACAGACTTACAAATTTTCATGATTACATTTCAGGCGAACAATGTTCGAGTACCCATCCCTCCACCAGTGCCCATTCTCTACCACCAATGTTCCCAGTGTCCCTCTCGCTACCCCCACCCCTACACTCCCCCTGCCTCTGTGACAGACACATTTCCTCTTACTCGGAGAGGCATTTTAAAGCAGGGACCAGTGGCATGAAAGGATAAAAAAAAAAAAACAGTCAATTTTGTCACTTCGCTCTTAGATATTCTGCCTTTGACGGGGGGGGGGGGGGAGAGAGAAAGACAGAGAGAGAGAGAGAACCAGAGAAGACTGTACCAGAGAAAAATTGGTTCTTTATTTTTTTTTAAATTGGTCCTTTAAAAAGGTTTAGGGACTGATGAGATAGGACACATTGGGTAGAACACTTGGCCTTGCATGCAGCGGACCGAGGTTTGATTCCCAGCACCACGTTTGGTTCGTAAGCCCCAGGCAGGAGGGATCTCAGACTGCAGAGCCAGGAGTAAGCCCCGAGCACCACCACGTGTGACCCTTAACTGAAAATAATTAAAAGGCATTTAGTTATACTTTAGTGAATTCAAATTGTTAAGTGAACTGTTTGTTCAGGATTTTTTGTTCTGATATAGAAAAAGAATTATTGGTTGATTCTGAGAATTTCCGCATACATATTTCACTTCACAGTGCTCATTGCCCACACCAGTATGTCCACCTTTGTTCACACAAGTCTCGATTAGTAGCAAAGGATTGTGTAGTCCTCAGCTAAATACTTGAGATGGAATTGATCCAAGGAATGACTGTAGACTAGCATATGAACCAACTTTTCTTTGGTTGCTTTTTTTCAAGAGTGGACCTGCGGAAGGCACACTTGACTGCTCAGGGATCAGGCTTGAGGTACCCTGTGGGGTGCTGTGGATAAACCTGAGTCAGCAAGTGCCCAACTTGCTACACTGTCGCCCCAGCCTTCTGAAATGCTCATGTTTTTGCTCACCAAAGTTTTTACTAGTGTGTGTCTGTTTTGGGGGGAACCACACCTGGTGGTGCTCAGGTCTTCCTTGGTTCAGCAATTGGGGATCACTCCTGCAGGGCTCGAGGGACCATCTTTGGTGCTGGCACTTGAACCCAGGCGGCCTGTTGAAAAGGCACGCACCCTACCCACAGTCCTATCTCTCCAGCCCCGTCTTTGCTAGTTTGGAGGCCATTCCCTGAGATGCTCAGGGACTCTCCATCCAGGGGACCCTGCTGTGCCAGGAATCCAGCCGAGGCCTCCAAAGCATGTGCTCACACGAGTGAGTCATCTCTCCGCCTTCAATTATTTTGAAGAAAGTTCTATTTCCCCATTACACCCAGGTATAATTTCTAAGTTACTTTTCTTCGGGGGAGGAGGGGCGCGGCGCACACCTGGTGCTTCTCACAAGCCTGCGCGTAGTTTGGTGGGGGTATCACTCCCAGCAGCACTCTGAGCCTTTTCAGCGGTCCTCCCGGCCTCTGGGTTATCTTCGATCCTGCAGAAGTGTTCGGACAAGTTAAAAGTTGAGTGCTCAACTGTTGAGCAGGAAGGGCTGACACTTTCATTCGACAGTCTTTTCTTCTGCTTTAGGATCTGCTGTGAGGATACAAAGATGAAAGGCAGCTGCAATGCAGCAGTGTAGACAGCTCATCAGAGGAAGTGTAGAGGGTGTAAGCAAAGCTCTGGGGACTACTGTGGGGGGAGTGGCCACTCCGAAAGAGGGTTGGTGAGGGAGACTTTGGAAGAGCGGACAGCATGAGCTGAAGGATGCAGCACTTGCTTAGCCATCGGGGAGCTGTGTGTGTGGAAGTATGAAGCACGTTAGGAGAACTTGTTTCTTTGGTGAGGCCGAACTATAGTGACTGCCTGGAAGGATGGAGCCTTGTGGGTGAGCCCAGACAGCAGAGTGTTGAAGGCCATGCCAAGGAAATGTACCTGAACTGTGTCCTAGAAACATTGGTGGCCAGAGGGAAGGGGTGGGGACAGGTAGAGCTGCAGGAACCTCTTGGAGGTTTCTGCTGAAGACACGGAGGCTCTGAACAAGGGCAGTGGTAATGAAAATGAAATTGTTTTGTTTTTCTGTTTCTGGAGAAGAGAAATGATTTTCCAGAGATCTTTCAGAGCAAGAGTTGGTCCAACTTGCCTGAGTGTGAGGAGAGGCAGAAGCTGGACGTTGGGAGGAGACTGTATCACTAAGGATGCCGGAGTGACACAGAGGAGCTAATTGGAAGAAGAAGGAAATCATAAGCTTGTTGCTCAACATCCTGCTGTTGCTGACATGAAGCCAGCTAGTAAATGCTCAATTAAGGAGACTCCGGAGGCCCCAGGAAGGAGGTCAGAGCTGTCTGTGTCAGAGGCTGGTAGAAGGCTGGGGGACAGGAGACAGCCAGAAATCTACTCTGAAAGGGAGGAGGAGGAAGAGGAAGCTGTTGGAACCAGAAGTGTATGGGAGAAGTGTTTGGGATGAGCACTCAGCTCTGAGGGGAATCACTGCCTGTGGCTAATGGAGGTGACATGCTGTTGGGAAAGCAGTTTCTTTGTTTGTTTGTTTTGTGTGTGGGGACCGCTCCTGATGATGCTCAGGGGTTACTCCTGGTTCTGCAGTCAGGAATCACTCGGGGAACCGTATGGGATGCTGGGGATCAAACTCGTGTTGGCCTTGTGCAAGGCAAGTGCCTTGTCCACTGTACTATCGCTCCAGCCCCCAGGAGAGCAGTTTCAGTAGCAGACAGCTGGGCAGGAGCCAGGAGACAACACCCAAGAAAATGGGGGTCCTGGCAGTTACCAACATTCCAGGCGATTCTGTGGCTGGCAGCTAGCTGGAAAGGTGCGGAGTGGAAGGCAGAGAAGAATCGATTCTTTGTCCTTCGTATTCACCGGAGCCTCTCATCTCAGGAGCTTGTTCTTCATTTTTGCCTTCGTGAATTTCTATAGCTCTGGAGTTCATGTAACAGGATACCTGGACCTACCGGGAAAAGAATTATATAGGAGCAGTTATTCAAAAGCCTAGCGTCTTGCCACGCCACAGTCAAACAGTCCACTCAGACTTTCTGTCAGGGCCCTTTTTTCTGATTTGTAAGATATTTTGAGAGTTGGTGGGATTTGCGGTGTTGGTCCTACTGAATGCTTGATTATTGTGAGGATTTGTGGTCATCTGATTCACTGAAGTGTATAGAGGGGAAATTCACTTTCCACAAAGTGGAAAATTTCTTCTACCATTTATTTGAGTTTTCTAAAGTAAGTTGAAGGATTTCATACCCCTTTCTCGTCATCCATTTTGGCAACTATTGGGATTTTTTTTTTCTTTCAATCTCCAACTAGTCTGCTTTGCCCCCCAATCTCTCTCTCTCTCTCTCTCTTTTTTTTTTTTTTTGGTGGGGGCCGGGGCAGTATTTTAAGACTAAGACTGAGAAGATGGCTCAAAGACATTAGGGCACATACTTTGTTTTCAAGAGACTTGAGTTTGATCCCCTGCACCACAGGTTCCCCCAAGTACTGTAGGGTGTAGTCCTGGAAAAAAACAAAAAAAGACAACTGACACTGCATCTCTGTTCCCACACAGTGCTTAGGTTTCCACTCCTGCCTTCCTGTTCTAAGATCTGAGGCTTGTGGGTCCCCATAGGCCGTGGCTTTTGGAGGAGGACTAGGAGGAGAGAAGGTTTGCTTGTTTTTTCTCTTTTTTGCTTTCTTTTTTTTATAAAAAGTAGACGAGAAGAAAGTAGGTGATTGGAAATTGAACTTGCAAAGCCCCTTTCCTCCAAGGAGCTTGAAGGATACTTTAATACCATTGGTCATTGAGGATAAGTAGATACTTCCAGGATAAGTAGATACTCCCTTTTCTCACTCTGCATCACGTTCCCATGTTTAGGCTGAGAGATGCATCTTTCATGTATTACCTTTGCTTCCGCCTCACTCCTTTTGTCTCATTTTAGTGGGTCGGAGCGAAGCAGCATGAATTGCAAGTGAACTCCATGCAGCTGCTGTACTACCAGGCTCCGATGTCTTCTGCCATGTTGCTGGTCGCTGTGCCCTTTTTTGAGCCGGTCTTTGGAGAAGGAGGACTCTTTGGTCCCTGGTCAGTGTCTGCTCTGGTAAGTTCTGATCTTTTGGTGTTGAAGAGACAAGATTATGATAATCCACTGTTAATGTATTTGTGTTTTCAGAGTGCTGCTCATATCTGCTCTTACATGTCATCTTCATGATCACTCCTTAAGGAAGGCAAAGTAAGGGTTCCCTTTTAGATGAGAAAGCCAAATCTCATAAAGATTCAGGGACTGCCTAGGATTGGACAGCTAGTGATTCACAAAACTGGACTATGGACAGGTCTTCTGACTCCTGGTTACTATTCTGACTACCTAAGCAATAGTCCACATGTAACTCTAACCATCAATGAATTTCATGTGTTTATTTTGGTTTGGGGGCCACACCCAGTAGTTCTGAGAGTTCCTTCTGAATTTTTGCCTTTACAGATTACTCTCAGCTGTGCTAGGGGACCAAACCTGAGCATACAAAATTTGTACTTCGCACATTGAGCTAGCTCTCCTACCCTGAGGCATTTTATTTTTCTCTTTTCTCTTACAATACAAATATAGGGTTATTTGTTTTGTTTTGTTATAAACATATATATATTTTTTTAATTTTGGAGCCATGCCTGTTGGCACTCAAAGTTTATTCCTAGGTCTCTGCTCAGGAATCAGTTCCAGAGGGTTCAGGAACCTTTTGAGGTGCTGGGAATCAAACCTGGGCCCAGGGCCGGAGCGATAGTACAGAAGGTAGGGCCTTTGCCTTGCATGCGGCTGATCTGGGTTCAATCCCTGGCGTCCCGTATGGTCCCCCAAGCACTGCCAGGAGTAATTCCTGAATGCAGAGTCAGGAGTAGCCCCTGAGCATTGCTGGGTGTGACCCAAAAAGCAAAAAAAAAACCCTGGGCCCACTGCATGCAAGGCAAGTGCCCAAATTGCTATACTGTTGCTCTGGCCAATTTTGGTTTTGCTTTAATACCAAATCAATACCTGCTCATTGCATAGATTTTGAACATAAATGGAAATATAAAGAAAGCAAAATTTTATTTCTCTGGAATCCTGCCATCGTAATTGATCACCTTTACCTTTTTGGTGAATATAATTTCATGGATCTCTGTGCGCTCACATGATAAGTGCGTGCTTCCGCCACGTGCGTCCAGTGGTCAGGCTGTGTTTTCCCACCCCCATGGCCGATAGCTGTGGATAGAAGGAAGAGAAAACTGCCAGGGTGGTTGGTGATCAATTGCCATTTATTCTAATCTGGACTTCCTCTGCCTCCTTCCAGTCTCGCTCACTGCCCATATTCCTTCTCCCCCAACCCACTCTCACACCCAGTTATGGAGAACCATGAATTGGAGATAGCAATTACACATAGGTGAGGTAGTACAGTCAACATGTGAAAGCCCTTCCTTCCAGGGAAGGTCTTCTGAGATAAAGATCTCATGCTGCTAGGAGATTTGCTCAAGGGCAAAATTTCATCTAAGGCTGTATTTCTCCTTTTGTTAGTCTGTATACATTAAAAAGGTCATCTTAAATTTACTTTTCTGTTTTTTTTTTTCTTTTTGGGTCACACCTGGCGATGCACAGGGGTTACTCCTGGCTCTGCACTCAGGAGTTACTCCTGGCGGTGCTCAGGGGACCCTATGGGATGCTGGGGATCGAACCCGGGTTGGCCGCATGCAAGGCAAATGCCCTACCCGCTGTGCTATCTCTCCAGCCCCTTTAAATTTACTTCTTAATAATCTTTCTAGTCATTTTGTGTGGACACCTGAAGATATATATAAAGCCGTCAGTGCTGTGGCGGGGATGGGCGTGCTCGGGAAGCAGCCTTTCCTCATCCTTCAGTCCTGTTGCTGAGAGAAGGTGAAGGAGGTGGGGGGTGGGAGTGTCCCAGTAGCTTGAAGCCATGTAAAGGAAAAGTCATTAAATGCTACAAAACCGAAGGAATATACACTTTGGATCTAGGCTTAATCCCCAGCATCACATATGGTATCCCGAGCACCAACAGATTGAGGGCCACAGAGTACAGCGGGGAAGGTGCTTCTTGTCTTGTAAAAAAACAGTATTTGGACCAGAGTGATAGAGAGTTGGGGTGTATGCTTTGCATGTAGATGCCCCAGGTTCGTTCCTCATTACCACATGGTTTCCTGAGAACTGCCAGGACTGACCCCCAGACGTGGCGCCAAAAAACAGAATTGAGGACATCTCAGTTTTGCATGTGAGAAAATATGAAATGTGTATAACATGTGGCGATAGAGTGGTCAGAGATAAGAGAGTGAGAATAAGCAATGGGAATTCCGGAAGTAGCAGAGAGATTCCGTGAGTTCATGTAAATAATGCATGTTGAATAATTCTTGGCAAATGATGAGCACTCTGAAATCTAACCCGTGCTTATTATGATTTTTATTATGTTCTCAAATGATTTTCAAACTCTGAGGACAAGAACCTATGTGTTCCTAAAGGCCTGGTTTCATTACCTGGGGATCCAATGAATGCACATTGATGTGATTAAGAATAAATTAGAGGGGTTGGAGACATTATACAGCAGTCAGGGAACCAACCTTGTACACAGCCACCCAGAATTCAATCCCCAGAATCCCATATGGCCCCTGAGTCCCACCAGGAACAGTCCCTAAGCACAGAGCCAGCAATAATCCCTGAGCACTGCCAGGTGTGACTCCCCACCCCCCCAAAAAAAAGAAATGAATTAGAGTGGTCAGGGATGTGGCTGAGCTATAGAGCAATAAGACCTGTGAATAATGGACATATTTAATAATATTAATAGTGCTTGGGATTACAAGAGTTCTTTATATTTCTTTTTCTTTGTCCTTATTATTTCATTTGCTTTTTTCTTCAGTAGGTATACATGACTTTTATAATAAGATTGTTAGCAAAATGATTTTTTTCTAGTTGGATAAGAAAAAATGTAGCACTGTAGCACTGTCCTCTCGTTATTCATCGATTTGCTCGAGCAGGCCCAGTAACATCTCCATTGTGGGACTTGTTACTGTTTTTGGCATATCAAATACCTCACAGGGAGCTTGCCAGGCTTTGCCATGTGGGCGGGATACTTTCAGTAGCTTGTGGGGCTCTTGGAGAGGGGCAGAAGAATTGAACCTGGATCTACTCAGGTTGGCCACATGCAAGGCAAAAGCCCAACCTGCTATGCTATTGATCTAGCCCAAGAAAAAAAGAAAAAAAGAAACTGAAAATTTACCTTCAGAAGCAGGATAATACTGTAGAATTTTCCGTTCGTTGGGCTTTGTAAACATATTTACCTTTTGCAGGGGTGGGAGGGTGATTTAGGCCTCACCCAGCAGTGCTCAGGTCTTACTCCTGACTCTGTGCTCAGCGATCACTCCTGGTGATACTCAGGGGCCCAGATGGGGTGCAGGGAGTAAGCAAGGGTGAGAATCACGCAAGGCCAATGCAGTAACTCCTGGGCTATCTCTGATCCCTAGAATTAAATTCCTGAATACCTATGCCTGCCAACATAACTGGTTTGTTTGACTTTATGACGATGCAGGAGTGATACACATTTAATGGAAACTATTTTGGATTTCTTTGTATTTGGGGCTAGTGATATATGGTATGAGACTTGCTAGTGACATTGGGCTGCAGCTAGTGAGCTGCGTCTTCCAGTCAGCCACTAGGTCCCACGTCTGAATGACTGATGCCTGCAGAATGTTTCTCCCCTTCAGAACTGCAGTCCACGTGTGAGCCAGTAAACACTTTACTATAAAATGGGCTTTGTGTTAGATGATTTTGGCCAGTCTAAGACTAGTGGGCACGTTTAAAGTGGGCTAAAGCTAACCTATGCTGTTCGGTAAGTTAGATATTTTATTTTATGCACTTCCGTTTACACCGGCTTCTCAGGAAGCAACTCTGCCCTAAGTTGAGAGTCGGTTGGTCACTGTTCCTTCTGTTCTCTTGTCCTCCGTTCTTGCTGTTTGTAATGGTTAGTGTTAAATATTTCAGTTGAAAAATACCTAATGCTTTCAGCTGTTTCGCTTAACGAGTCTTTTATTTTATTTGTAGCTTATGGTGCTGCTCTCTGGAGTAATAGCTTTCATGGTGAACTTATCGATTTATTGGATCATTGGGAACACTTCACCAGTCACGTATCCTTTTATAACTTATATGCCTTTTTCGAGAGCTCTAAATTGTATAGCCTAAATTGAGTAGAGTGAGTTATTTTAATCGTTTCCTATTTTCTTGCATACTGGAGTTCATAGAGACTTAAAGAAGTATAAACTGGGGAAATGGCATAGTTTTCTGTATGATGTTTATGAATTTTGGGGGGAGGGGTGGGGCTTGGGGGGCCACACCTGGCAATATTCAGGACTTACTTCTGGTTCTGAGCTCGGGCATCACTCCTAGTGGGGCTTGGGAAATCTTATAGGTGCCAGAGATTGAACCTGAGTCAGCAGCGTGCAAGGCAAGCACCTTACCTGCAGAGCTCGCCAGCTCCTGCATTTTCATAAGGAATAGAAAAAGCAGTGTTTTTCCTTGTCAGCCTTAGCAGTCTGTGCATAATGGGGTTAAATGATTATTTGTTGAGTGAATAAAGGGATGGATGTTTTTCAGTCAGTTCTTAGGGTTTTTTTTTTTTTCTTAGTTATTGATAGCAGTTATCCATAGCAATAAAGTAGAGGTGTGGTTAATCCTGATAACAGCAGATCCTTTCAGGCCTTTACCTTTACCTTTACCTTAGGGATGGCTCAAAAATTTTAAGACATTAAAAAATGCCTTTACGGGCTGGAGAGTTAATACAGCAAGTAGGGCACTTGCCTTAGATGTTCCCAACCTGAGTTTGATCCCCAGCATCTTATATGGTCCCCTGAGAACCGCCAGGAGTGATTGCTGACTGCAGAGCCAGGAATAAGCTTTGACCATCTCTGGGTTTGCCCCTCGTCCAGGAAAAAAAAAAAATGTTTTAAACGTGCTTTCCCTCTGCATAATATTTTTAACAAATCATGAGTAATTTAAATGTAACAAACATGGTGCTCAATATATGCTAGAAGCTTTCCTTATATTAACTTACTTATTCCTCACAATATCCTCAGAATCACCCAGTGCTACAGTAGACCAGGCTGGGGGCAGGGGAGAGAGGGAAGGTGGGAAGGAGAAAGTTTTACCTGGTTACTCTTTATTTTCCTTATCTTAAAAATCTCAGCTATAACATGTTTGGACACTTCAAGTTCTGCATTACTTTATTTGGAGGATATGTTTTATTTAAGGATCCACTGTCAATTAACCAGGGTCTTGGCATGCTATGTACATTATTTGGCATTCTTGCCTATACCCATTTTAAACTCAGCGAACAGGATGGAACTAAGAGTAAGTTGGTACAGCGTCCTTAATTGTGTTTTTGTGGGGAAAAAGACTGTTGCCCCAAGAAGATTATTTTTAAGAAGAGTAGCTCCGCGTGCAAGTTTCTTTCCAAGGAGAAAAAGAAAATTGAGCAAAATTCATGATGATCTGCAAGAAATAACTCGAAGGAAATTTGATAAAAAATATATGGCTTCCTCTTTTAGAAACCCTTTTTTTTTAAATTTTTATTAGTGAAACACCATGAGGTACAGTTGTAGACTTACAAATTTTTGTGCTTGGGTTTCAATTATACAATGATCAAATACCCATCCCTCCACCAGTGCTCATTTTCCACCACCACGAATCCCAGTATCCCTCCCCCCATCCCCCCATCCCACCCTGCCTCTGTGGCAGGGCAAGAAACCCTTTTTTTTAACATAAGCTTAATTCTCTAAGACAAAGACAAGTGCTGCTTTTCATGGCTATTGTACGAAGTGTATGGGATGGTCTGTTCATAGCAAGTGAAGTATGGAAATGAAAGTTCTGGGCTGATGACAAAGGAATTCATACTATGTCCTATAGATGAGTTCCAGATTTTAAGTGCTTGTGCTTTGCTGAGGAGGGACACGTGGGACTCATCCTTGCTCATAGTTGTTATGAGCAAGGTCCTGGTATTATCATTTTATCTTAGCATGCAAGTTGGAATCTGATTCTAGCATTTCATTTTTATTCAGAAGTAACTTGAACTTATTTCATTTAAAGAAGCAAAATGGGGGCTGGAGAGATAGCACAGCAAGTAAGGCGTTTGCCTTGCATGCAGCTGACCCAGGTTCGATTCCCAGCATCCCATATGGTCCCCTGAGCACTGCCAGGAGTAACTCCTGAGTGCAGAGCCAGGAGTAACCCCTGTGCATCGCCAGGTGTGACCCAAAAAGCAAAAAAAAAAAAAAATAAAAAAATAAAGAAGCAAGATGTTATTTATGGAAAATAGTGTAGTAAATGACAAAATATGGGCTCTAAGGCAAAATATGAGCTGGAGAATGTACTGGGATTAAGGTGCTATTTTGTCTGCCACGGACTTCAATCCTGTCCCTCATGCCGCATATGGGCCCCATCACCACCAGGGGTCACTCATGAGCACAGAGTCAGGAATAGCCTCTAACTATGCCTGGGTTTGCCCCCCAGAAACAAAAACAAGATAAAGAAAAAGAAAAGACAAAGTCCAGTTATAAATACTTTTCTAGTAGAAAATAAAAGAAATTATGCAGTGTCAAAAAAAGTGATAGTTTCTGTGGGCAGCCAGAGTTTCTGTCAGTATTCTTTTGTTGAGCATTCAGTGAACTATAGAAACTAAGTGTAAAGTCCAAAAAAAGAAGGAACTCTAGGGGGCTGGAGCGATAGTACAGTGGGCAGGCCGTTTGCCTTGCACTCGACCAACCCGAGTTCATTCCCTGGCATCTCATATGGTCCCCCAAGCACCGCCAGGAGTAATTCCTTAGTGCAGAGCCAGGAGTAACCCCAGAGCATCACTGGGTGTGACCCAAAAAGAAAAAAAAAAAGAAGAAGAAGAAGATGGAACTTCTCTGCTCAAATGACCCAAAGCAAAGACTGAATTTACAGATTTCCTGTTACATTGGATAACTATTCTCCTGACCTCTTAAAGTCTTTCATGCTGGTAATTTCCTTGTTGTTTCTTTCTTTCTTTTTTTTTTTTTTTTTGTGCCACACTTGGCAGTGCTTACGGGGACTGTGTGGTGCCAGGGATTAAACCGGGGGATCCTGCATGAAACACGTGCACTATAGCCCTTTGAGCCAGCACTCCAGTCCTTATAATGACAACTCAGTTTTGTCGAAGGCCCCCACGCAGTGGTGCTCAGAATCTGTGGTGCTTGGCGACTGCAAGCAAGGCAGACCCCACCCCGAGGAGGTCATTTCTCAACACAACCTCCCTGCTCCCACGCTGTTCCCCACATAAGATGCATCTGTGCTTTTGAGAATTTGGAGTGAATTATTTCCAGCCTTTTCAAGGTGTCTGTCTGGAAAGAGTTCTTAGGCATCAAGGCAAGAACAAATACTGCCCAACACTAAGAAGAACCCCTTGAAAATATAAGTACAAATATGGAAGCAAAGTAGCAAAATAGTAAATAATGTAATGGATTTAATGATTTTTAAAGGGATAATTAAGTTGTAAGGGAATACCTGGTTTCCACTTAAGAAACTGTCATACATGTACTTACAGAATGTGTTTCAGCCTTTCAGCCATTTTTGTATGTGCTGTTGGGGGACATACCCAGAGGTTTTCAGGGATTACTCCTGGCTCTGTGCTCTGGGATCACTCATGGCAGGCATGGAGGACCATGTGTGGTGCTGGGGATCAAACCCAGGCTGACTGCATGTAAGACAAACAGCCTACCCACTGTGCTATTGCTTCAGCTCCAGCCCTTTGACTTCTTAATAGTTGAGTATTAGAAGCAATTATTGATACCCTTTTCCAATACATTGAGTTGAATAGATAATCCCTCTTAACATATTATTCACTTTTAAAAAAATGTTAGTGATGGGATTGGAGCAATAGTACAGTGGGTAGGGCGTTTGCCTTGCATGCGGCCAGCCCGGGTTCGATTCCCAGCATCCCATATGATCCCCTGAGCCCTGCCAGGAGCAGTTCCTGAGTGCAGAGCCAGGAGTAACCCTCAGCATCACCAGGAGTGATCCAAAAACAAAACAAAAGCACAAAGAGACATGTTTATAAAATATGCCCTTTAGGATTTCTATTCCTCCCACCTCCAGCATATTTGAAATTAAAAAACTCTCTGAAAAGCCTCATTGACAGGATTTTAATCTGTTGTGTGATTATTGTGAATTTCTGTTTTTGTTTCAAATATTCTTTGGTTCTTCATTTTCAACGATATATTTTATTGTGCTGGGGTCTAAAATGTTTTCTGTATCTCTTAAATCAACATACTTGTTTCCCAAAAGCTGGAAGAAGGTATTTCAGTGCAGAGAGAATCATGGGACTTGTCTGCTTTACTAGCGGGTTTGGTATGTGCCATGTGCAAATTCTTAATTGTAAAAACAGCTTGAAGGGGTTTATAATAGGGAACAGAGCATAAGGTGTTTGCCTTACATACAGAAGACCCAGGTTCAATCCTTGGCACCACATATGGCCCCACAAACCTTGCCGGGAGTTATCCTTAAGCAGAGAGCCAGGAGTCAGCCATAAGCACAGCCGTGTGTGACCAAAAAAAAAGTAAAAGGGGTGGGAGTCTTAGTATAAATGAGGGTGATGGTGTTATAATATATGACTGACATCAATAGGAATGCAGCAAGAAGATTGTGTATAGAAATGAGTAAAATACATACTTCTAGAACTAGAATCTGGTACGCTTTTTTTTTTTGTTTTTTTTTTTTTTTTTTTTTGCTGTGGAGATCATCATCCCAATGAAAAGAAAATTCCTTCAGAAGAAAAAAAAAAGCCAGTATGAAACAGAAGTCCAGGAGAAGTGTTACGGACATACACTTGATCAACGTCTGTTGTGGATGTAACTGCACTTGTTTTTCAGTCAGTGTTTGATGAGAAAAATTCAGGGTTTGTCTGTTACAAATAAAGAGAACCTGATATTTTTACTTTTATGCTGCTTGGATGACATTGGGGGGAGAAAGCCGGCTTTTGTGTATAGATGTGGCGTTGCTGACCTGTCTCCATCCCAGATCTGCCGGAACCCATGAAACAGAACCCTCACCTCCCTTCTGACAACATAAAGGATAGATCTTTCTCTGTGAAATAATGTGGGATTTCTTCTATTTCCTTTCAAAATAACGAGGGGCTGGTATTACAGGACAGCAGGTAAGGCACTTGCCTTTCATACACCACCACCAACAAAATTATACCTGTTTTAAATAACCATTTATTTTTAAAAAAAATATTTAGGAGCTGGAGAAATAGCACAGCAGATAGGGCATTTGCCTTGCATGCGGCTGACCCGGGTTCGATTCCCAGCATCCCATATGGTCCCCTGAGCACCGCCAGGGATAATTTCTGAGTGCAGAGCCAGGAGTAACCCTTGTGCATCGCTGGGTGTGACCCAAAAAGCAAAAATAAAAAATATTTAAAAGCAAAAGCATAAACTAAACACTTTGCATTGACGCACCAGTAAATAGTTGGGTGAATGGGTACATAGAATGGCCAAAAGTGAAAGTCTGTTTCAAAGAATGGAAAACAGATTACTGTGGGTACATTCTGTCTTGCATTTCAGTTTCCAAGCCTGAATTAGATTTAAACTTGCTGACTTCCAGGATACAGTGGTAATTGCCCTCATTCGTGCTTATTAAACATCTTGTGTGCCAGGACTGGAGATAGCATAATGGTCAGGTGCTTTCCCGGCATCCCATGCTGCCACCCACCCCACCCCACTCCAGCCCTACCTGGTGTGGCCCAAGAAAAAACATTGTATGGCAGATATCCAAGAAAGACAAACCTGTGTTTGCCAGGATCTTTAAAAACATCAGTATAGCAGAAAAAACTAGACAGTAAATAAAAATAAGATGTATTTATTAGCACTAATGCAGGCGAATGGTCTGCATTGACAGATCAGGAACATGGCCTCTGGGAGTATATTACAAAGAATGTTTCACAGTGTTGGTTGTCAGTCCAGGTAGATGAGGGAGCCCAAGAGAGTACAGCAGGTAGGCCACTTGCTTTGCACAGCTGATCCGGGCTCGATTCCCAGCAACCCATATGGTCCCCCAACTCCCTCTAGGAATGATCTCTGAGCACGGAGCCAAAAATAATCACTCTGTGCTGCAGGTGTGAACAAAAAAAATCAAAGCAACCTCAAGTAAGTACCCACAGGGAGAGGATGACTGCAATATATGAAGTTAGCCAAGCAAAAGGAACAGGTTGCATTCTGGGAAGAGTGACTACCAATATACAGACACATTAGTGATAGAAATTACAATGAGTTTAAAAATAAAAATCCTGAAGTATAGAGAATGATTATTAGTTTTGCTTTGTTTTGGGGGAGCATACCTGGTGATGCTCAGGGGGCCATATGGGATGCTGTGGATTGAACCCATGTCTGCTGCATGCAAGACAAGTGCCCT